TGCCAGGTTTTCATAAAACAATGAAGAGCACCACCCTACTTGTAGGGGAAATTCCAGCCGTACTACAAATAATTAGTATTTTGGTTCATAAGAACAGTTTGGGGCTAGCATTTCTAGCTCAGCAGTAGAGCCCCTGCTTACCATACAGGAGGCTCTGGAGTCATCTCCTGCACCATGAAGAAAAACAAACAAAATAAACAAAATCAAATAAAAATATGTGAGAAAAGATTTTCAGATTTTTGTTGCTGTTCACTTGATTCATGGTTTTCCTTTGATACTGGAATACATGGTTTTATATGGGTATTGAAGTATAAAGATGTGTTCTAGTGAAATTGTGAAGCTGTCAGCTTTACAGAATAACTGACAAATCTTTTAAAATTAAGTTTCCCATGTAATGTTCATCCTTCAAGTCCCTTAATCTCGCTTTTCTGCTCACTCTGTGACAAATATGAAAGTAGCTGAAGGAAACACATAATTCTGCAGACATATCCTTGGGGTAGTTGACAAAAATTGTAACAGCATCCTGAGCATGCACACAGGTTCTCAGCTTGGGCCAGGGTTGAGGGTAGAAGAAAAGGCTGGAGTTCAGGTTACTCGGTAAGGAGACAGACACTTCCAAAGTGCAGGCATTACCCTGAGCTGCTGTTCTCAGATTTGGGAGAAGCTGCCAATAAGACAACTCCCTCTGCTTCTCTGGCTGTCCACTGTGCTTTCGCCTCTCCCTTGCTGAGGTGTTATTCAGTGCTGGTGTATATACGGTGTTTCCCTGGTTCGACTCTGCAGGTTTTATGTTCCTGAGATCTAGAGGAAGCAGTGAAATAGTTTCTAAAGGAGGACTGTGCTGCGTTGGTGGAAGTTTCTGTACAGCCCCGTCCTGCTGCCTTTCAGTCTCAAATAAAAATACAGAGGCTTATATTAATTATAAACTGTTTGGCTGATGGCTCAGGCTTCCTATTGGCTAGCTCTCTCTTAATTATTAACCCATTTCTATTAATCTGTGTACCTTCACATGATCTTGGCTTACTGGTGATGCCTGAGCCTCTTGCTTTCTCGGCAGCTACACAGCTTCTCTCTGGTGACTCATTCTCTGCATTCCTTTTCCCAGAATTCTCCTAGTCTGGTAGCCCCACCTATACTTCTTGCCTGACTACATCCTGCCTATCCATTGGCTGAAACAACTTTATTCCTCAACCAATAAGAGAAACATATATTCACAGCATATAGACGGACACCCCCCCATCAGTGCTGTAAAGTTTTTATATACAATTTGATATGTTTTTCCTGAGATGAACATCCTGAGGATGTTCTGCCCACATAGAATTTAGCATGGGAAAAATTGAACTTTTAAAAACCTGTGATGGCATTTAAGAGATGGTGTTACTTGGATTGAAGGACAGTGCCCATCAATAGGAATCGATTCTGGCTTTGCTTTCTCTTGATGTTGTAGAACTCTGTCTCCTTCAGAAGCAAATCTGACTTGGAGAGAGTGGCTCAGGGAGGTAGAACTGGGTGTGTGTTCTGTTGCTGAAGCACACTGAGCCCTTACTTCCCCTGTTTCCATGAATTGGACAGGAAGATGTGGAGGAAACACTGTCCTGTCCCGTTAGCCTGGAAAGCAGTGTTAGGCATTATTTTCCAAGGGAGTACAAAGGATAGAAGAGTTCCATACTGCAGGATTGGCATCAGTAAGGAGCCCTGCTCATTATCAGAAGTCTGAAATTATCTAGGTTGACTTAGAAGCTGTAATTAATGATGTGGGTAAACAGTTTAATAACTGTTTTAAAAATAAATGAGTGAGTGTAGTTCCTGAATGTTGTCTTGGATGGACCGCTAAGCCCCTTGTTGTTCTTATACAGTCGGGTTCCTTATTCCCAGTCCGTTCTGGCTGATCTAACATCTTCTGCTGGTACCACTTACTTGAATCCTTCAGGTCTTCCATGAGGTTTAGCTGTTATTTTCTCTCCTACACCTATGCCTTCCTCTCAATCCCTATGTCCCCAACTTCATCCTATCACCATTAGAAATGGTGAAAAGTAGCCTGGCAGTGGTAGTGTACACCTTTAATCCTAGCAGGCAGATCTCTGAGTTCAAGGCCAGCCTGGTCTACAGAGCAAGTTCCAAGACAGCCAGAGCTACAGAGAAACCAAACAAAGCCTTGTTTTCTGTCTGTCTCCCTGTCTCAAAAAACAAAACAAGCTAGGTGGTGGTGGCACACACTTTTAATGCCAGCACTCCGGAGGCAGAGATAGGCGGATCTGTGTGAGTTTGAGGCCAGCCTGGTCTCCAGAGCGAGTGCCAGGATAGACTCCAAAGCTACACAGAGAAACCCTGTCTCGAAAAACCAAAAAAAAAAAAAAAAAAAAAAAAAAAAAAAAAGGTGAAAAGTACTTGTGGAGATATTCTGTGTCAGGCGGCATGCTGGGATTCAGCTGAAAACAAAGCTGTGCTGTGCTTACGTGTTAATGAGGAAAGCTAGTGATTGTGTTGCTATTGGCATGAGGTGGTTTAGGGACCAGGAGAGACAGATAAACCAATGAATGATGAGAAGATAAAAAGTCTGGGAAGGTTTTTAGTCAGCAAGCAATCTTTGGAAGTCAAAGTATCCCACTGTTTTATGTCAGTAGGTTTGGATTCACGAAGTTTTGTTTTCATTTACTGTGTGGTATTGGGATTGACTGAGGATCTTGTAGATGCTAGAAAGACACTGTGCTGTCTAGCCATATGCTCAATCTTGTGAGTATATAAAGCTTCTTTCCCTGCTCTTAAATAATGACTCTTGCACTTCATTTGTGGGGCTTGTTTATTTCTTGTTTTCTGTTTTGATTTTAGAGCCCAGATTGGCCTCAAACTCACAATCTTCTTGGTTTAGCCAAGATTGCTAGGATTACAGGTGTGTGCCATCACTTTCTCTCCTAAAAGCACTGGCAATACCTAGCTATCTTCTTATGAAAAGGCTTTTAAATGGTTGCCAGAGAAGCACCTTTCAAATCTATCGAGAACCAAAGCCCAGTGTCCTCATTACTATCCACCTGAAATTGCCGTGTCCAGAAACCCCACACATGGCCTATGAAAGAAGCCTTCTAGACCAGAGTTTCTCACTCTGCGTAGGTTGGAACCCTGCAGGTAGGGGAGGGACTGAGAATTTTACATTTTTTCAGGAAGTTTCCAGATAATGCCAATAACTGCTCAGAAATGGAATGTGCTGAGATGGCAAGTCTAGAGGATCAAAAGAGTAAGGAACAAAGGTGAAACCAGGTGGGGCTGGCAGTGTAGCTCAGCCTGGTGGCCTAGTATGCACTGAGCCCCATCTTTGGTTACCAGCACAGCCAATCCCCACCCCAGAGGTGAAGGCACATTTTTCTTCTATCTTCATGGACAAGGTGTGCTACCCTGCATCCCGTTCACTTTTAATTATGTTTGCCAGTGCAGATCAAAACCTAATAACCCAACTGAACTGACTCTTGGCCCTGCTCCTAGGAGCAGCTAATTTTGTCTGACTGGAAAATCCCTACCTCTCTCCCACCCCAGGATGTGAGTCTCCTGCTTGTCCAGGCCACCTATGATAAAGGTGTGCACCCACCCAGTTGAGTGATAAGAGGCCCTGGCCACTGAGTAACAGGAAGCCAAGTGGTTGGTGGTAGGAGGCGTTCCTGTTGGCATTTTGCCTAGATGCAACTGGTTTGTGTAGCTTTGAACTGCAGGAATGGTTTCTGAGTCCGTTATTCTGCAGTGTAATCAGGACCTGGCAGATTCACATTAGAAATTCTTATAATTTGGAACTCTAACAGTTGAGTGACCTGCCTGTGACCTGAAAAAGAGCCACAGCAGGAATGGAATGCAATTTTCTCTCCTGCTGGAGTGTTTTTCCTGATGATTTTCTTTGGATCTTTTAGTGGATTCACCTGTTCTACTCTGTGGATGTCCTTGGTAGACTTATTGCTGATGAACATCAGAAAAGCAGTTTGTTGGTTGCTGAGACAGTTTCACACTGTGCCTCAACTCATGGTCATCCTTTTCTTTGGAGCCGCAGATGTTGGGGTTATACCCAGCCTGGCCCAGATAGTCAGTTGTTAAAAGCGTCTTGTTTCTGAGTGTGTACATTCTATGCTGGAATAGTGCCCCTCATCTGCCTGGGGAACTGTACTGTGGAATTCCCCTTACAGAATGGACTGAAACAGTTGCCGTTAGCTGCATGAGATCTGTCTCTGTACACACTGCAAAGCCTTGGTGAGGTCAGGCTGACAAGGAAGAGCTGATAAATGGCCTGGAAGTGCTTTTCCAACTTGAAGCTGAGTCATAGTCACCTGGAGGGAGGCTTGTTTAAATGCCCTTATTAGATCGCTGGGCTCTGCACCCTTAGGGTTTCTGTTTCTGTAGGAGGCTGGGTGGGGCTTGTCACACTCTAGGTTCACTGTCCTGACCACATCTTGAACTGCAGGTACACGTCAGTGATAACGAGGGTGGTGGGCACGTGCTGTACTGTTGTACACTAGGGTGTACTGTTATAACTAGTGTGGTGGGCATGCACTCATCATTACTCCTGTACTGTTGACTGATTAGACACTTACTGTCAGTAGCTCCCAAGCTTTACAGATTTGGCATTTTGTTGTTGTTTTAAAACATCAAGGCTGAAGTTCTCAACAGCATCGAGTGTACTCGCCATAAGTCCTCCTGGTTCATACCAGGGGTCAATAGAGACTTCTGAAGCAAGGGCGTGGGGAAACAGAATGGAGACAGCTGGGAGGAAGCTGCTTTCCAGTCGCCTTCCTATCATCATTTGAAGTTGGACTAAAGTTGAACTTTAAACACAGAACAAATTTGAGTTTCTAACAGCTGAGTTGGGGAAAGGAAAGGCAGGGTCTGGCTTGCCTGGCTTTTCCCATTCCTCCAAATCCCTTAGGTGCAGTCTCACATGTCTAAGATCAGGTAATTGATTCTAGTTTGGTTTTGCTAGCCCTTCTTTTTGTTGAAGGTAATAATGGGAATCTCTGTTGATGCAGTTCTGGGACACCGAAGGAGGGGCAGGATGATCTCAATCTTGGTCTTGGTGACCTGCCCTCTGATGAGGAAGTCATCAATAGTTCTGATGAAGATGATGTCAGCTCCGAGTCCAGTAAAGGAGAGCCAGACCCGATGGAAGATAAACAGGTAAATTTTGGCAATTAATTATTTCTGCTTTTGTTTTTCTTGGCCTGTCACTACGAATGGGAATGGTATTTATCATACCGATAAGAAAACAAGAGTAACAACCCTAGTGAGTTAGTCTGGAAATGCTTTTCAAGTGTAAGTCTTGCTCCTGTTGTAATGTAACGCCTATAATGGTATATCTCCAGCTGTGCATCACCTAAGGATTATTTAGTGTTTTTTGAGAAATTATTTTACTAATGTCCACTGGCTTTTTATTTGTGCTTGTAATGTGTGTGTGTAAAACTTATGTAGTTGTGTCTGGATCATGAATCTCTCTTAGGGATTGTTCTTGTCCTGCCACTAATTCTTACATTTCTTTGTTGTGGGTTTTGTTTGTTTGTTTTTGTTTTGTTTTGTTTTGTTTTAATGTGTGTGGCTGTTTTGTCTGAATGTACACCTTAGATCCCTTGGAGCTTGAGTTACAGACAGTTGTGAGCTTCTGTGTGGGTGCTGTGACTTGAACCTGGTTTTTTTTTTGGAAGAACAGCCAGTGCTGTTAAACACTGAGCCAATTCTCTAGCACACTGTTTTTTGTTTTTGAGACAGTATAACCTAGTCTGGCATTGAATGATAGCAATCCTTCTGCCTCAGCTTTCTTAGTGCTGAGATTATAGGCTTGAGGTACCACAGCCAGGAGAGTTTTTAAAAGCTAAATTTCTTGAAAGAGGGGAATTAATAGGCATTTGGGGCTTGATCGCACCTTTAAAATTTTTAAAATGAATTTATTGTGTGTGGGATTGGGGAGTACATTGGAGTGAGCATGATTTTGTGCTTTGGTACATGTGTGGACGTCAGTGTACAACTTGCAGGAGTCAGTCCTCTCCTACTGTGTGGCTTGCAGGTTCAAACTCGGGTTTTCAGGCTTGCAGCTAGCGTCTTTAACCACTGAGCCATCTCACTGTCCTGATCTTGTCTTTTTAAGGACAGAACAAAGATTGCTGCTGTACTAATTACTTCTTGCTTTGCTGTGGCAACATAACTGATAAGAAACAAACTTAAGGGAAGAAGGGTTATTTTGGCTCACAGTTCAAGGGTACAGACCCTCGTGTTCTGGAAGTCATGGCAGTAGGAGCATGAGGCTCAGAGTGCCTAATGCTGGTTCCCAGCTTGCTTTTCCCTTGTATTCAGCCCAGGACTCCAGCCCAGGGCATGGTGCCACCCATCTACAATTAGGGTGGGTCAGTTCACCTAATGGGGGTCATCTTTGTTAGGGTTACTACTGCTTCAATGAAACACTATGCCCAAAAGCAACTTGGGAAGGAAAGGGTTTATTTGGTTTACATATCCCGATTCACAGTCCAGTGAGGAAAGCCAACTCAGGAACTCAAGCTTGGAGGGAGGCAGGAGCTGCTGGGAAGACTATGGAGGAGTGCTGTTTACTGGCTTGCTCAGCCTGCTTTCTTATAGAACTCAGGACCAGCAGCCCAGGGTTGACACCACCCACAATGGCGTAGGCCCTCCCCCATCAATCACTCATTAAGAAAATGCCATACAGGCTTGCCTGCTGCCCATTTTTATGGAGACATTATTTTCAGTTGAGGTTTCTTCCTCTCAGATAACTCTAGCTTGTGTCAGGTTGACATGAAACTAGGCAGCTAAGGATAATCCTTCATAGCTGTGCCCCGAAGCTTGTTCCCTGCGTTATTATAGATCCTGGCAAGTTGACAATGAGTGTATTAACTCTCTCACCGTTAATAATGTAGTAATCATTTTCTTAAAATAATCTAGCATGACGCCGGGCGTTAGTGGTGCATGCCTTTAATCCCAGCACTCAGGGAGGCAGAGGCAGGAGGATCTCTGTGAGTTCGAGGCCAGCCTGGTCTCCAGAGTGAGTGCCAGGATAGGCTCCAAAGCTACACAGAGAAACCCTGTCTCGAAAAAAAAAAAAAAAAAATCTAGCATGTATATGTGTTATGTGTGTATGTCTTCATTCATGTTTGTGTGTCTATGTTTGTCCATTTTTCATAAAGGTTTGGGATATGTGATAGGGAAATTAATTATATTGTTTTAGTTTATTATAAGCATCTGTATGTTTTACTTGAAATAACATTTCTTTGAATAAAGATACTATGAAAGGGAGAAAATTAGCATAGCAACAATGTCCCCATACTGATTGGAGTGTTATAGAATGGAATTTTAAAGGGCCCTCACAACATAACAAGCCAAGTAGGAAACCCTTGTCACCCGATTCCTTGTCATATTTTACTAATCCATTATGCCTTCTGCTTAACATGTTGTTGCTCTGTTTGTATTTGCTTTTACCCTGTAATGAATGGCACAGCATGGTTATCTAAAATTGAGTCCCAGTTTTGTGCTTTGGTACATGTGTGGACGTCAGTATACAACTGGAAGTTGGCTCAGTAGCTCAGAGCCCTTGTGGCTCTTATAGAGATCCTGGATTCAATTCTCAGTACCCTCATAGCGGCTCCCAACTGTCTGTAACTTCAATTCCAAAGGCTCTGACACCTTCTTCTGATCTTGTCATATGGTGTACATACATACAGGCAAGCAAAACCACATAAACACATAAAATAAGTAAGTATAAAAAAAATAGTTACCAGCTATGGTTTTGGTAACTTGAAACTAATTACTTAATCTTTTTTGGTTTAAAGAATACCACTTTGTAAATGAAGACAAAATATTACTTATAAATGATTTGATATGAAAAAACTTAGAGTATTATCCAGTATGGGGTTCAAGCTCAGTGATTTTGTTTATTGCTGATGAGACTTAATTTCTGAACTGGGTGTTGCTGCACACATTTGTCATTCTAGCAGTTGGGGGGCTGAGGTAAGAGGATTGGCATGGGTTCCAGGCTGTCTGGGGTTAAATAGTAAGTTCCAGATTGGTATAGGTTATAGAATAAGATACTGTCTCAAGCAAATACCCCAGAGATTACATACATACATACATACATACACACACACACACACACACACACACGGAGTCTCAAAAACAAACAGGCACTCCAGACACATACACCTACCCGACCCCCTACTTGACGGGATTAAGTGTCAGAGCAGGTTGTTGAAAGTAGTCACTAGAACTTATTTAGGCAAGGGGTTCTGTGAAGGCCCTGAGAGCTGAGTGGCTGAGGGTTTTTTTTTTTTTTTTTGACTGGAATGACACTGCCCTTTCTGTGCCTTACCCACGCCTTTCACACTCTAGTTTACAGGCTCATTTTCTGTGTTGCTACTTCTTGATATAGATCCTACAGTATGTCAAGGGTACCCCTCATGTCCCAGGTAGTATCAGTGTTTGTTAGACATTAGCAGTGACCTTGGCCCTTGCTTTTGTGATGTGCCCATCTCAATGGAGGAGGAAGAGGGACCACAATCCATAAACAGGAAGAAGCTCAGAGTGTTTCCAGGCTGCAAAGGGAACATAGCAGTGATGTGCTGGAAACTGCAGTGCCTGCTTTGGATGAAAGCCTCTGAGAAAGTGATATTTGACTAGAATTTAAATGAATGCAAAGAGCCAAAGCCTGTGGAGAGCTTGAGAAAGAACATTCAAATAGTATTGTGTGAGAGCCATAATTAAAACCGAGCTTTATTCTCTTCCTTTTCCTGCCTCATGCTGTTGTTCTGGCCTATTCTTTTTCACTTGAACCTTGTCCAGTTTCTCTCTATATAGAAGTGGTAACCACAGTTATCTCCACACGGCACTGGACATCAGACTGGTGCACTGTGTAAAGGAAGGCTCTGCTGTGTTCCATGATTCTTTCCAGCATTATATTCTGCCACTGCCTGGTTCACTCTTAAATTTTGTGTTCAGTGGAGTCTCCTAAGTATAGTAGGTCTTTCTCTTTAGACTTTCTTTTGGGACCCCCAGCCCCCAAAGAATGACATGGAGAGGAGACTTATTATTAATTATAAAAGCTTGGCCTTTAGCTTAGGCTTGTTCACAACTAGCTCTTGTAACTTAAATTAACCAGTTTCCATTAATCTACATTCTGCCAAGTGGCTCTTTACCTCTGCTTCATTCTGTATGTCCGACTTGCTCTGTGTCTCTGGTTGGTGTCTCCTGTGTGCCTAGATTCAAGCCCCGAGTTCCTCTCTCTGCCTGGAATTCCCACCTAATCTCTCTTGCCTACCTGTTGGCTGTTCAGGTTTTTATTAAGCCAACCACAATGACACATCTTCACACAGTGCACAAATATCCCTCAACACTTAAGGTGCCTTCCTCGGTTGTTGTGCCTCCTTTCTTTCCTTTCCTGTCTTTATTCCATAGTTTCGTGTCCTTTTGTGTCACTTTACGATATGCCTGCTTGCTAAATCTTTTTCTTTTTTAAAATGTGTGTGTGTGTTTGTGCGCGCATGCACATGTGCACATGCGCTATCACAAATTTGTAGACCTGGTGTGAGTCAGTTCTCTCCACTGTTGTGTGGATTTCAGGGATTGGAATCAGCTCTTTAGGTTTACGTGACAAGTACCCTTACACACTGAGACATCTCACTGCCCTCCCCTCTTTCCAGTTAATTGTGGACATGTAATGTTCTTTTTATTGTACCAGTAGCATCAATAATAATCTTCCTTTAGAATGTGCAGCTGCTCTGAGGAACTTACATTGTGTCTCTTCATCTGGAACAGCAGCAGAGGTAGACTGTATTAACTCCCTTTCTAGACAGCTGTTAACCTGACTAACCACAGCCTACTGAAGGTTTTTAAGTAGTTTGCTTTCATTAGTGATTAGGAGAGCACTATCTTAGGAGCCTTCCTTTACACGGTGCACCAGTCTGATGTCTAGTGCTGTGTGGAGATAACTGCAGTTACCACTTCAATATAGAGAGAAACTGGACAAGGTTCAAGGAAAAAAGAACAGGCCAGAACAACAGTATAAGGCAAGGAAAGGAAGAGAGTAAAGCTCGGTTTTAATTATGGTTCTCACACAATACTATTTCAAAATCTCAAGATCTGTCTTGTGGTGATATTTTGTTTATGATATAACAAATAAAGTTTGACTGAAGTTCAGAGGGCAGAGTTAGCCATAGAGGCCAGGCAGTGGTACACACTTTTAATCCTAGCAGCCACACTAGTTAGCTATAGAGGTCAAGAAGTGGTGGTACAGACCTTTAATCCCAACACTCGGGAGACGAAGGCAAACAGATCTCTGTTAGTAGCCACCCTGGGCTACACAAAATTGACCCAGACTAAAAGAGAAACAGAGCTCACACAAAGGTGATCTCAGCACTAGGGAGTTGGAGATAGGAGTGATATGGCTGGGCAGAGAGAGGATTATAAAATGGGAGAAGACAAGAGAGAGATGCAGTCTGGGCATTCTGAGGTTTGGTGGAGAGCAGTGCAATCTGAGGCAGTCGGGAGCAATCTGAGGATCTCCCCTTCAGTCTGAGCATTGGTAGAGGTAAGAACTCTCTATTGACTAGCCGCTTTGCTTCTCTGATCTTCAGCATTAACCCCAATATCTGTCTCTGGGTTTTTATTATTCATGCTACAATGTCTGGCACAGACTGAGTGCTCAACAGATTTTTAGTTATTCCTGGTTATGTACAGCTAGGGAAATCTCAAACATTTCATAGCCAGCGTTCTGAGTTTGCCCATGACTACATACTGTCTAACTTGTCTTTGCTGAATAAGGAAGCAGTGTTCCTATATTCAGGATACTGTTGTGCCTCCTTGGGGAAGATTGTATTTCAGACTTAGCTCTGCTATGCTGGATGACCTTGAACAAATAGTGACTTTCAATCAGGTTTGTTGGCACATGCCTATAATCCCAGCACCTGGGAGCAAAGACAGGAGGGCTGACATGAGTTCAAAGCCAGCCTGGTCTACATAGTGAGTTCCAGGCCAGCCAGGACAGTGTAACTACACACCAACTGAAAAATGTGAGAATGTGGAGGGTTTAAAAGGAGAAGGACTTTGGGGAATAGTTGCAGTTCTTCAAAAGCTTAACTGTAGTCATCATGTGGCCCAGAAATGCTTTATTTAGTGCCTACTTATCCAAGAGTAATTAATGAAAAATATATGTCTACACAAAAAAGGTTGTGTTCATATCATCATCGTTCATAATTGAAAGGTCTCAGGTGGGAGTTCTAAGGGGCCACTAAGATGGATTGTTGGGAGCAATTAGTAGATTAGAAGAATTACTGATGCCATGGAGAGATGACATAGATAACAGCATGGTGGGGGCCTCTGAGGAGAGTTTATGCCCCAGTGACAGACAGCATTGTGGGGGCTCCAAGGAGAGGAAATTAGGGCCCACCTGGCAAAGTGACCTGAGAATGGGAGTGGTTTCACAGCACAAGCCTGCAGTCAGGCTCTCTGAGTCCTGGGCAGGAGGAAGGGAAAGAGACGAGGAGCAGAGTGGGTGATCAACAGTACCAACTTTGGTACAGACTTGCTCCCAGGTGAGATGTTCAGGCACTTGAAGGTCTGTTAGCTAGAGAGTCACAATGTCTTATTATAGGGCATCTGTCAGTATCTCAGAGGGGAGTGGCTGCTGCAGATACTGAGTCCCGAGCAGCAGCTGGATTATCATAAGTAGTGACCAAAACAAGAGAATCTAAAGCTCATCAACTGAAAACTGGAAAAATTAAGTGTCACCTCTCTACACAGTGGAATAAAAAGGAATGGAGAGTGTCTAGTAATGGGCACAGAGATTTTGAGGGAGATAAAGAAGTGTTCTAAATTTATATTGGGATAATGGCTGGACAGCCCTGAATTCACTAAGAACCATCAAACTATTTAGAGAGTAAAAAATCACATTTTATGGCATATAAAAACAGCCAAATGTCATGGTGTTTGCCTTTAATCCCAGCACTTGGGAGGCAGAAACAGGTAGAGCTCTGAGAGTCCAAGGCCAGGCAGGACTGGCAAGTGAGAACCTGCTTCAAACAACACTAACAACCAAAAATCCCCAACAACAACCAAAACTTCCCACAGACTCACTCATATGTACTGTCTTTGATTCATATGAAATACAGGGATTTTAGAGAAGCTGTGTAACCTGCTTGAAAACCCCTGATTTGGATTTTGTAATTACAGTCTCTTTCTGCTAACAAATTGGCTGCTACATCATTCACAGAAGCTAAATGTTATCCATAGAAGGTGTTTTGAGGAGAGTAATAAGCCACAGAAATCTTTATTAATTCTCCTTGGAAATTCTTATGTGTGTGTATGTGTGGGAGAGTGTTAAACAGGTATTTGTGTGTGTGCAGATACACATAGAGGTCAAGGGTTATTGTCGGGTGGCTTCCTCTGTTGTTCTCCACCTGATGTTTTTCCATAGGAGCTCTTCCTGAATCTGGAGCTCACCACTTCAGCAAGAGGAGTGTCTGCTGTCCTGACCAGCTTTTTATGTTGGTACTGGGGATCTGAACTCAGGTCCTTGTACTTGTATGAGAAGCATGTTACCCTCTGAGCCATCTCTCTAGCTCCCTGGAAGTTCTTTAGATTTTAGTTAATTGTTCTTTCAGTTTGTAATCAATGTTTGTTTTAAAGAAATGTGTTGGGCAAAGTGGCTCATACCCATTTAGCATTTGGAAGGCAGAGACCAGAGGATTCCTGCAAATTTGAGGCCATCTTGTCCTACATAGTAAATCTCAAGCCAGCCAAGGCAATTTAGTGAAACTTAGTCTTGAGAAATAAATTAATTTAAAAAAGAAGTGTATTCATTTTGTTTCTTTGTGGTTAGAAATTCACTCTGTAGCTTCTGAATATTTGTTTCTCTGTTCCTTTTCAAATCTTCTGAAAGTGGCTCATGGTCATTTCCTTGTGAAGAGAAGGGCGGAGACTGGAAAGGACAATGTCCTGTAGGTAACATCATGATATCACCTCATCTTTGACGTAAAAACCATTAAGAGCTGTGCCTTGGGCAGGTCTTCCTGTTAACATTCTTCTCTTGCAAGTAGTACTCTTGTTATGATAGGGAAGACCTCTTAGATAGTGTTAAACTCACTGGGGAAATGATATTGGACATCACTGGTACTGAGCAACTAGGAAATGAAGAGAACACTCTTAAGAACTTTCAAAGCTGGACTGTTATCAGAGGATCAGAGCATATCACTGCATTTCAGGTCAAAGGATCTGTTTGGAATTTGTGTGACTTATTTCATGACCCTTGACAACGTGTTTTCATTCGTCCGTGGCTAGTGTTTTGACTTCCATAACAGTACACTCTGCTTTGGGGAGATGCTATTTAATAGGCAGTCTGCTTTGAAATGTGGTACATTTTCATTAGCTGAGAAGTCTGAGATGCCGAACACAGCCTTTTGAGGTCTTACAGGGTGTGTTTCCATCATTGTTTGGCTGGGTCTGAATCAGTGACTGTTCTTACAAGATGGAGAAAATACAGAACTTTTAATATTTGTTGTCTTCAACTTTTTCCTACTTTCAAATGAGTACAACACATTGATTTCTATTCTAATAACATGCCTTTATTTAACTCTATAATTTTCCTAGCTTGAAAGGAAAAACAGAGGCCTGGAGAGATGACTCAGCAATAGAGGAGTTGGGTTCCTAGCAGGTACCCAGAACCCATATCAGGTTGCTCAACTGAAGCTTTTGCCTCTGTGAGCATCGTAATCCCAGGTGCACATGCACACACACACATACTCACTGTTATTCTTTTGCTTAAATTAGAAAAAAGAAGCATAAGATGAGACATGAGAACAAGAGATACATTAACCATTGTTTATTATAGTGCAGGAAAGTAAGAGAGGGAGAAATGGAAGAACAGAGCAAGGCAGAGAGTAAGAAAGAGGAGAGAGAGATTGACCACTGGAAAGAGAGAGAAGTGTAAGAGAAGAGAGTGTAAGTGGACAGGGGTCTGTCTTTTAAAGGGGTCCTTTACATCTGCGTGCAGACTTACTTCCCATGGAACCCTGGGCTGACCAGGGCACTGCCTGAGTGGATTCTGCCAGGTAACAGGGGCAGGTTAGCATAATTCCTGAACCTTTCACATACACATACACACAGGCACGCACGCACGCAAGCACCATCAAAATAAATCTTAGGTGAAGCGAATGGTGACAAATGCCTTTAATCCCAGCACTTGAAAGGCAGAAGCAGACAGTAATCTGAATTAGAGGTTATTATGGTCTATGTAGTGATTTCCAGGCCAACCAAGGCTATATAGTCAGACTGTGACTGAAAAAATTAAAGTAAGGGGCTGTAAAGATGGCACCGTGGTTAAGAGCACCTTTTTTGTTCTTGCAGAGGACCCAGGTTTGGTTCCTAGCTCTTACATAGTGGCTCACAAACATCTGTAACTCCAGTCTCTTTTCTGACCTCTAAAGGTACAAGGTACATATACAGCGCATATACATACTCACAGGCAAAATATACATAACCCAAAATAGATATAAAAACAAAATAAGTCAGAGAAAGACAAAATAGATAACTGTAAATTCCTAGATTAAATTCCACTATACTTTATTGTACATGCCACAAATTTTGACTTGTAGTTTGTATTTAATGTTATATAACGTATCAAACAATGTGCTCTAGTCTTTTTTTATGGAACATTTCATGAATTTGCATGTTTTCCTTACACAGGGGCCATGCTAATCTTCTCTGTATTGTTCTAATTTTAGTGTATGTGCTGCTGAATCGAGCACTGGTCCTAGGTTCTAAGAAAGTAGCAGCCACCTGTACACATTTACTTGTTCATGAATTTTCGTTGAACAGTGAATTAGACACTATGCTTATATTTAGAGGGATACAAAAGTAATTAGGTAGACTAGAGAGAATTAGGAGATTTAAACAGATAGTAATAATCTACTGGGTGTCTTATAAATAATATGTGAACAAGAGTGTAATCTTGTCCTTTGAAGATAACAGAAGAGAGTATCTTGATGAAGGAAAAACCTGTGACCATCATCTTAAAGAATGAACTAGAACATGGCAGCCAGAAATCCCTTGAGTGAAAGATGGTCTTCAGAATCGAATCCCGAAGCAAAGGAAAGGTGTATAGAAAGAGACAGAGAAGGGCAGAACTTGTATGGAATTACGAGGTAGTTCCAGTTTGGTTGGAGTCAAGTAAGGGGTGTGGAGGAGAAAAAGCAGAATTAGTAGATACATTGTGAAATAGCTTGTCTTTCTCTTTACCTCTTACAGTTGTTGAGTCAAGCAGCTTCTCTGCCATGTGCTCCTGCCTTGAGGTACTGTGCTGCCTCAAGCCCAAAGTAATACAGAGACCACTGACTGAAAACCCTGAAACCATGAGCCCAGTTAGACTTCTTGAAGTTGTTTATCTATGGCATTTCGTCCAGTGACAGAAATCTATCACACATTAAGGAAAGGATCAATTAACCATTAAGGAAATACTCAGAAGGATAATTAGCAGGCTTTGTTGATTCAAAAGATGGCACTGTCAAGAAGGAGAAATTCAGGTTTCTGACATTGATGCATGGGCATGTGCAGTACAAAGAAGGAAGTTCTCACTTCCTCTACAGGTTCCCTGTCTGAGTCAGCCGAAGTGAGCTGAATAGGCACACCAACTGGAGAAAAAGCAGGCACCTTTGTTAGCAAGTATAGGAGCCACACAAAGAAGGGCCATATACAATTCATAGGGAAGTCAAAGTCGGGGAGGATGTAGTCTGAACTCTGGTTGTTGCTGTGTAGATTGAGTCTCTCTCGAGTAGCAATCCTCAGAAGAAAAGGAGACGGTTATAATTAGCTCAGTAGGCTGAGACTTTCTCATATTTTCTTTGAGTTAGCCTTCTCTGGTTAAGAGAGTTTGGGGGAGGAAATGCAAGACAATTGCACTTATTTTGGATGACCTTTCTTGAGTTAGATGACCAGATCTCATAGAGAGCCTTCTTTCTGCTGGGAACCAGGGACAGTCAGAGAACCTTAAAGCCCAAGGCATCCTGTGTGGTTCTTTGCTCCTCTGGTCAGTCAGACTGAGTGTCATACTTGAAGGTATTGTTTGAATGTTTACAGTGACTGAAGGGCATCAAAGGCATTTGTCTGTGTAAAGCCTTCTTGGTTCTACATTCTACTCTAGTATGGTCTCCTTAGATGCTCAGCAGGTTCAGAGTTGTGATAGTTTGTGGTCTTATTCTCTTTGTTCACTTCTTGAAGATTGCGGCCATTTCTTTTAAATTTTTTCTAGTTATACAAAATTATGGGTTTCATTATATTACACACACATACACACACACACACACACACACACACACACACACACACACACACACACGCCCACGTACATTTGTACTTTGCTTATATTTGACTGCTTTTTCCTGGGCTGTTTTTTTAATCTCTTCTTCAAATGCTCACACTCCACCCCATGTATGGTTTTAAAATTTTTGATAGAGTTACTTGGGAATCTGAACTGTAAGATGAGCTTCTGATTCTGGTGATCAGTAATGTCAAACTCAGCCTCAGAGCAGTGGATTGGCTTCAGTAGAGCTGTTTTAAGATTTTGCTATCAAATGTCAGCAAGGTCAAATAGTAGCTTCACTAGGAGGATGGCATGAAGATGCTACTGACCCCCTTCCTCACGGAAACAAGCTCCGGATAATAAGGACAAGAGATATGGGCTGGTGTGGGTGCAGGTACTTGCCATCAGGCTGCTAGGGGCTCCGTGACCTGAAGTTAATCCATGAGACCCACATAGTGGAAGGAGAGAACCAGCTCCTGCTAGCTGCCCGCTGACCTTCATGTTCGAGAGAGAGAGAGAGAGAGAGAGAGAGAGAGAGAGAGAGAGAGAGAGAGAGGAGAGAGAGAGGAGAAGGGAGAACATTTAAAATAAATAGGTATAACTTTATTTCCATGATATGAGGCAACTATAGAAACCCTAGTCAAAAATGTATAAGGGCTACCATTTCCACCTGCAGTGTATACAAGGCCCAGCATCTCCACATCTTGGCCAACACCTACCTGATTTTATATTCCAAGATAATGTCTCACTAGATAGTCCAAGATGGCTTACAGTTCAAGATCATTCTGCCTCAGCTTCCTGAGTTCTGATGGACTTGATTCTTTGTATTTTGTTTGTTTGTTTTGGGACAGTATCTCATTGTGTAGTCTGGTAGGCCTCCATTTTCTGATCCTCCTACCTTACAAGTTTGTGCCACTATGCCTGCCTTGATTGATGTATTTAATTATAGCCATTCTGTAGGTGTGAGGTCTTAACATAACCATGTCAAAACATTTTCATGTACTTGCTGACTATTCTTATGTCAGCTCACATCTGTTCTCATTTCTGAGTTTAAGTTAGCAGAGGTTTCTTTATTTTTATTTTATGTGTATTTCTGTGTACTGCATACATGCCTGGTACCTGAAGAGGTCATTAGGTCATTGGAAATATAGTTGTGGATGGTTGTGAGACGACATGTAGGTGCTGGGAATTGAACCTGTGTCTTTAACAAGTGCTCTTTAACTGATGAGTGTGTGTGGGCGCACACTCGTGTGAGAGCGTATTTTGGATACTAGTCCTTTTCCAGAGTTGTGATGTAGAAACAAGTTTTCTAGTCTGTACTTTGGTCATTTGCTGTGGTAGAAGCATGCTGTCTGCCTAGAGATGGTATATCTTCATTATAATGGAGGGTCCTACTCTGCACAGTTCTGGCTGATTAAGGCTCTGCCAGAGCAAGGCTCTGGGCAGAGAGAGTAGAGCCCCAGTGCTAGGACAGTACTAAGATGAGGAAAGGAAATAAAAGGAAATGCCATAGTAATTATACCATAAAAGAAAGATTTATTTTATATGGATGAATGTTTGCTTGATGCCTGTGAAACCAGCAAAGACACTGGATCTCCTGGAAATAATCTTATAGTCTTACAGATAGATGGTTGTGGGCTGCCATTTGGGTACTGGGAATTAAACCAATTCTGCACAAGAACAGGAAGTGTTGTTTATTTGTTTCAGACTGGGTCGTTCTATGAAGCCTTGGCTGCCCTAGAACTCTCATATAGACTAGGTTGTAACTCGCAGAGATTTGCCTGTCTCTGCCTCCTGCCTGCTGGGATTAGAGTCATGTGCCATTATACCTGGCCAGCAAATGCTTTTTACTGCTGAGCCATCTCTCTAGTCCATACCTTCTTGATTTGGGGGTTTGTGGGGGTGGGGGTGGGTGGGAGCAGTGGTAGGGAACAAATGCAGGGTCTCAAACTTTCTGTGCATCTCTGAACTATACTCCTAGCCATTCAATGAATTTCTAATTTAAAAAAATATGTACTGTACTTCATTAGCGTTAACCTTATAGTTAAGAATGGTGAGAAGGAATATATAAGGTTATTAGAAAAGCATTGATTTGTTAAGTATTCAGAATATCAGTTATCCAAGTGTACATGTGTGCAAACACATATGTAGTCCCCTGTCTGAGATTTGTCTGCAAGGTCAGATTTTGTCTCCTGATGAATGTTAGCCATGTCTCTGCCTTTGTTTAAAAAATGTAGTAGAAGATGAGTGGTTGGAGTTGAGAACAAAACTTTTTTTTTTCCCCCTGAGACAGGGTTTCTCGGTAGGTTTGGAGACTGTCCTGGAACTGTCTTTGAAGACCAGGCTGGCTGCGAAGTCACAGAGATCCTCCACCTGCCTCTGCCTCCCGAGTGCTGGAATTAAAGATGTGCGCCACCACCGCCCGGTCAGAACAAAACTTATGCAACCTATTAGTCTTACTCATTCAAGAACCCATTTTAGAAAAGTGGATGCTAATGGGGCCAGAAGTCAAATCCCTTTAGCAACAATTTGAGAGCAAAGGAAAAGGAAAACAGTGAAACATATTAGGCTAATTAGACTGCATTTTTATGTACGCTGAATGAGTAGTCAGTTGTCCTAGTTTGGTTTCTGTTGCTGTGATAAATAGCATAACCAAAAGCAGCGTGGGAAAGGAAAGGGTTTATTTGGTTTACAGGACACTGTCCACCATTGAGGGAAGCCAAAGTTCTGGTATTCAAAGTAGGAGCCTGGAGGCAGGAACTGAAGCAGACCACAAGGCAGTGTTCCTTACTGGCTCTGTTCATTCCAGGCTTACATTGGGCTGTATGTTGTGATGCTCAGGATTACCTGTCCTAGGAGAGTACTGCCTACAGTGGGCTGAGCTCTTCTATGTAAATTAGCAATCCAGGAAATGTTCCACAGACATTATCACAGGTTTAGAGGCAATTTCTCCCTGAGGTGCCCTCTTCTCAAGTATTTTTCCAAGCAAAATTAGCCATCCCATTTGCCATTTAAATATTCTTTTCATAAATAGTTGGGTTAGAGCCTTCTCTGAATATTTTTGGCAGAACAGTCTATATCAGTAGAAGTGTTTCTTAGTATTGCACACAAACTTTTCTGTAATAAGAGAAAACATGGAAGGGACAAATACAAGGAAACTGCAAGATCAGTGGTTACCGTCACAGCCATCTGTGATCCCAGCTCTCAGGATATAAAGGCAAGAGGGTCAGGAGATTAAGTCCAGTCTCTGCCATTTGAGTCCAGCCAATTAATTGCATTGGGTGTGTGTTTAACAATGGATGTTGGCAAGATGTGTCAAGGTTACTACCAGAGGTTGGAAAGGGTGCACTATTTAATACAGTAATTTCTAATTTTATGCGTGTGTGTGTGTGTGTGTGTGTGTGTGTGTGTGTGTGTGTGTGTGTGTGTGTACATGTGTGTATTTGTCTGTGGAGACCCAAGATGTCAGATGTCTTTCTTACTTGCTCTTCACCTTGGGGGAGTGGTCTTTCACTGAACCTGCTTTGTGCTAAGTATTATAGCTAGACAGTTTCGATGTAGCCATCTCCCTGTCCTGTGATACAATGATACAGTACTTTTTAGATTAATAATTGGAACTCTGGATTTTCTTTTCAGTTCACTCCATTTTCAGGTGTATTGCAGAGGATCAAATCCAGGACCTCAAGCATGCTATGCAAGCACTCTTCTATTGAACATAAACCCCACTCCTCTAATAATCAACTTTTCAATCTCTATAGTTGGTCTTCTGCTCTTAGTGTATATATTTTCTATATTCATCGCTATGGCTACAACTACTGTTTATGATATAATGGTCTCAAAAGTGTTTATTTTAGTGAATATAAAAATAAGTATTCCCACCGGGCGTTGGTGGCACACGCCTTTAATCCCAACACTTGAGAGGCAGAGGCAGGCAGATCTCTGTGAGTTCGAGGCCAGCCTGGTCTCCAGAGGGAGTGCCAGGATAGGGTCCAAAGCTACACAAAAAACCTCTCTCAAAAAAACAAAAAAAAAAAAAAAAAAAAAAAAAAAAAAAAGTACTCCCCCCACCTCTGCCACATTTCTAACTTATATGAACACAGACATAACTACAATTAAAAAAAGAAATTTCCAGGAACAAGTGAGGTGGCTCAGTGGTTAAGAGTTCTTACTGCTCTTGTAGAGGACACTGGTTCAGTTCCAAGTACCTACATGGCAGCTCACAACTATTTCTTGACAGTTCCAGGGAACCCAGTGCCATTTTCTGGCCTCCAGTGATTTCTACATGTGCTTGGTTCACACATACTCACACATAATACATTAAAATAGGTAAGTTAATACATAAATATATGCCCAGATTCTGGGGGGGCTGAGTATGAAAACTCCCTGGTAGAACTCTTACCTAGCATGTGCAGTACCTCTTAGATCAGTCCTTAGTATTGTAATAAACAAACAGAATTCAGAATCTAAACACATTGAAGAACATTTAGCACAATATCTAAATGTATTGAGGTGTGGTTGCGCCTATATTCCCCAGCATCAAGAGGCTGAAATAGGAATGTAAACATACAAATGTAAATATATTGAGGTGTGATTGTACCTATAATCTCTGACCTCAGGAGGCTGAGATAGGAATATAAACATATACGTCTAAACATACTGAGTGTGATTGTGCCTGTACTCCCTGATCTGAAGAGGCTGAGATAGGAAGACTGTGAATTGAGGCCAACCTGGGCTATAACAAAACCCTGTCTCAAAATGAAGCAAAACAAATTGAAATGAAAATTTAAGAATGATTACCCAGTTTACTCATGGGGCATTACCTATGCTTAGCTAAGTAAATAAAAGGATTCTAAAGTATGTACAGAGTGCAAGCAGTCACACATTTTAAATATTGTTAAAATGTATTCTCCCAGAGAGTTGACTCATTTTAAAACTACATTTATTTTATAACTTTGTTTTGACATGGAACCATGTGAAAATGAATTCAAGAACTAAGAAAGGGCTTGGGTGTAGTTCAGTGGTAGAGCACCTGCCTAGCATTTTGAAGGGCCCCTTTTTGGATACCTAACACCACAAAAAAATTAGATAAAGTGAAGAACTAAGATAATACTTTGAACTGTCACAGTGCTAAGTAGATCTGCTAGGATGGCACATCATTCTGAGAGACAGTGCTTTAACACCTCCCCCCAGTTCTGTTAATGAATGACTAGTGGATTGCCATGGTGACGGTTTATGCATTTCCTTGCTCAATAGTTCTTGAAGCAGTACAAAATAACTGTCTTGGTGCTGCCAGCACTGGAAAGAATGCAAACAACAAAGCAACACCAATGGGGGAAAATCTTTACAAAATGGAGCCTGGAGTTTTTCCCTTTTCATAGTAGCAGAAATTGCTTTTTAATTTTAATTTGTGTGTGTGTGTGTGTGTGTGTGTGTGTGTGTGTGTGCATGTGTACATACATATATGCTCTGCTGAGAGGTTAAGGCCTGTGTATTGCTGAGCAAACTTGTACTGCTTTTACATCCCCATCCTGTTTCCAGCTATCATTTCACCTCAAGTCAATGTTTTAATTGCTTGTTCCTAATTTACTGTTTATTCCTCTTCACTAAGGAATTGTGTTTTCAGATCTTTCAGAAAATGGAAAAGGAAATTTCTTATAGCTGACCCCTGCAAACAAAACAAACTCACCTAAATGTTTAGAAGCGCTTTCCAAGTCATCTTCATTGCTTTCCCAGACATGCACAGTTTGTGTCCTTGCTGTGGTATTTAATAGTCACACCAAGAAGTAATTAAATGATGTCTGTGGGATGATGCCAGATATATACTATCATGAAGAGCCTTAATTAATTATACTTTCAGAATTAGAGTGATTTGACTTATGCAACCCATTAATAGTTCTTCATTACACATCTTCATGCATTATCTGAAGTGCTTTTATTTTTTTTATTCAGTATTATATTGTTGTCAAAGTTGTCCTAGAACCTCACCATCTTCCTGCCTCAAGTCTCTTGTGTGTTGGGATTACTTATATACAAGGCCTCACTGGGCTGTTTGTGATACTCATAGGTATTTTCTTTGCAGGATATGACATTTCCATGTTTAACCTTTGATGCTGTTTGATTGATTGATGGTTGATTGATGGATTGATTGGGGGTCTCACTGTGTAGACTTGGCTGGCCTCAATCTCATAGAGATATATCTATCTCTAAGTACTAAGATTAAGGATGTGTGTTCCCCCAACCCCATTCCTGATTTCTCTCAGCTATTTCTGTATTGATTAATCTTTCCCTATGTTTGCCTTTGAGTGTGGATTTTGTGAACCAGCTCTTAGCTGATCCCGTATTTGATGAATTCATGCTTTCTCAATGCATTCTTTGTTTTCAGGGTGAAGATACTGGGATGAAAAGCAAAGTTCATCATATTGCCAAGGAGATCATGAGTTCAGAGAAAGTGTAGGTATCAAGTTAGCAGATCAGAAGATGGTCTTCCCAGTTGGCTTATTAAAACATTTTTATTCCTTTTTTTTTACAGGTTTGTGGATGTGTTAAAACTTTTGCATATTGTAAGTATCTACTAGTATTTTTCTCAAATCTAAGATAATCAGTCCTGTCCTTTTCCTACCCTAAAGGTTCTTAGCACAGGTAACAAGCAAAATATACCCATGTGTTCTCTAGTGCTTCGTTGTAGGCAGAGTTTCTCTGTGTCTTGGTAGGTGTTTCCCAAGTAACCACTCAGAGTCTTAATATTAATTGTAAATGCCTGTCCAATAGTTCAGGCTTATTTACTAACTAGCTCTTACAACTTAAGTCTACCCATTTCAGTTAATCTATGTTTTTGCCAAGTGGTTGGTGGCTTTACCTATCCTCCAGTGTGTCTTGTTCTCTTTGAGTCTCCTGGGGACTCCTCTGACTCTGCCCTTCTTTTCCCAGCATCCTTAGTTTGGTTATCCCTCCTATACTTCTTGCCTGGCTACCAGCTATTTTGGCTTTTATTAAACCAATTTGAGTGGCAAATCTTTACAGTGTACAAAAGGATTATTCCACAGCACTTGGGTATATTTTAAATTTATAATAAATATTTATATATGTATATATTTACTAACTTTATATATAATAGACATTTTACAAGTTGTATCTTATTTACATCCAGATATATGTAGATGATTTCTGAAAATATGTCTTCAGCAATTTCTATCTATTCATAATAAATGAGCTATGACAGCTGCTGCTGCTTCCTTCTTTTCCACTTCCTCCTTTTCCTTCCCTTCTTCCTCTTCTCTCTTTTTTTTTCACCCAAACTATACCTCCAGCACACATAATGATGATGTGTCTTTTGGGGGTATTTCTTCTCTAAATAGTTACCAGAAACACAGACACTTGAGACCACCATTTATTTATTTATTTACCTATTTTCAAGACAGGGTTTCTCTGTGGCTTTGGAGGCTGTCCTGGAACTAGCTCTTGTAGACCAGGCTGGTCTCGAACTCACAGAGATCAGCCTGCCTCTGCCTCCCCTGTGCTAGGACTAAATTCATGCACCACCAACGCCCGGTGACACTTGAGACAGCCATTTTTATAGCTAACTTTTTAAATAATTGTCAGCTTGACCAGACTTGTTAGGAAACAACTGTATGTTTCTGGTACATTTCTCTTCTTTTGTCCTTGCAAGTTTTTACAAGATTCCATATGCATTGGCAGTTAAGTGCTTTTAGTGTTGTTACTCTGTTTCGGTTATATTTTGGCAATATATCCCAAACATCCCTCACATGTGTGCCACTAAATGCTCAAGTCCAATAGTTCTTTTAGCTAAAGACATACCTTCCCTGGAAAATTTGATAGTCTGTATTTGTCTCTGCTTGACTGTCTGCCTCTCTCTCTTTCTGTCTCTGTTATTCCTCTAGCCCTCTTCTTCTCTCCTTCTTTTACCCTCTTTCACCATCTCTGTCTTTCTCCCTCCTTCACTTTTGAAACAGAGTCTCACTTTAGTCCATCCCTGCCTCAAAGGTGTAGTGATCTTCCTGCCTCAGCCTCCAGATTGCTCGTTACAATTTTAGACAACAATCTGATAGAATAATTCTAGTTTCATTCTGTTGTTGTGATAAAAACACTGTGACCAGAAGCAACACCATGAGGAAAGGCTTTCTTTGGCTTACACTTCCACTTTAAAATCCATCATTGGGGAAGTCAGGGCAGGATTTCCATGGAGGACTCATGGAAGAACATGGCTTACTTACTCACAATCTAGCTCATGTTCAGCTAGCTTTCTTCTACAGCCCACACCACTGGCTTAGGGATGGTGTTGCCCATAATAGGCTGTGCCCTCTTTAGTCAATGATGAGTCAAGATATGGCCACAGGCCAACTGATCAGGCAGTTCCTTAATGAAGGTTTCTTTGTCCCAGGTGACTCTAGGTTGTATCAAGTTGAAAACAAAACTAACCAGCACATAGACTCTTAATAAACCCAGGAAGCTGGACCCAAGGCCATCTGGACATACTGATATCTAAACCCAGGAAGGTAGACCCCAGGCCCCCTGCACATACTGATATCTAATGCCAAATAGAATGTGGGGTTCTTGTTTTTTGTCTTTTCAAGACAGAGTTTCTCTGTATAGCACTGGCTGTCCTGGAACTTGCTGTATAGACCAGGCTGGCCTTGAACTGGAGATCTGCCTGTCTCTGCCTCCCCATTGCTGGGATTAAAGTTGTATGCCACCAACACCCTGCTTGAATTGTGAACTTTTTAATTATCAGTTGCTTTGCCTCTCTCTCTCTCTCTCTTTTTTTAAATCATTTTTTATTTGAATTAGAAACAAGATTGTTTTACATGACAATCCCAGTTCCCTTCTCCCTCCCGTCCTCCCCTACCACGCCCCCAACTAAAACCCTACCTATCATATGTCCTTTCTTCTATTCTTCCCCTCACTCATCCTTTCTGGAGAGCCATTCTTATTCAAACCACAACACTTTCTTTCTTCTTTTCTCCCTTCCTTCCTTCCTTCCTTCCTTCCTTCCTTCCTTCCTTCCTTTCTTTCTTTAGTCCTATTCTGGCTTGTTTTTATTTTATTTTATTACATTATTATTCTTTAAATACCTGTTTGTTTTCTAACAAGAGAAAGGGTGTAGATTCAGATAGGAGGGGAGGTGGGAAAGACATCAGAGGTGTTGGGGGAAGGGAAACTGTAATCAGAATATATTTTATGAAAAAAATCTATTCAATAAAATTAAAATAGAGTAAAAATATATACACTAATAATTTTAAACCATAGAACTTGTATTTAAAACTAGAATGCCATGTGATGTTCAATACACATATACATGTCAAGATGTTTAAATAAGGCTAAGCAAGCACCTTTATCTCCTCAAACAGTCATTATTATTTTTTTAATGGAGAAGACCTTCTAAACCCTTTATCTTAGCTTTTTGAGAGGTACACCAATTGCTTTTATCTATTGTACAATAGCTAGAGTTTCTCGTTCCTGTTTAGCATCCACTGATAAACATCTTCCTAACACTTCTCCCCTACTCTCCCTACGTCTGGCCATCAGCATTCTACTATTGACTGTGTTCAGTTTCCCATATGAATGAGATGACACGGTGTCTGTCTTTCTGTACCTGACACATGGTTTGTCCTCTCTTTAGTTCCTGTTAACATAGCCACTACCTTCATTGTTGAGCAGTTCTATTCATATTAAGACTCATATATGAAGTTCATTACTAACAGCATATTTGTCTTGCTACTGTCTTCCCTACCTTGGTTTGTCATCTTCTTTCTCTCTGTGGCTGTTACAGATCTTTGCTTCTCAGTTTCCAAAGACTTGTGGGTATTAAGTGATGTTCATGTGATTATTTAAATTACCAAAATTTTTGTTTGTTTGTTTTTTGTTTTGTTTTGAGACAGGGTTTCTCAACTTAACAGCCCCACCTGTCCTGGAACTAGCTCTGTAGACCAGGCTAGCCTTGAATTCACAGAGATCTGCCTGCCTCTGTCAGGATCAAAGGCATGGGCCACCACTGCCCTGCTAAATCAATAAATCTTTTAAGTAAATGGCCTTTTAATGAGTGTTCTTTATGTACCTTTTAGTGTATTATATAACTATGTCATACCAATTATTTATTTTGACTTAAAATAGTGTTTTTTTTCTTTTGTTTATTTTAAATGAAAAAAAGTAGCCAGCTATTAAATGTCAAAGCCAGACTTTGAAGTCTGGTCTATGTGAGTTCTTGGTGTAAAAATTTTACATGTTTGCTTGCAAACCTAACCATTGCTATTTATAGCATATCTGTAGGATGTAGTGATCCTTGGGCATATTTGTTGCCTACAGAATTCTTTTCAGCTGCCTAGGAAACCAGAGAAACTCTAGTTTTTCATCTTATAAAGATAAAAATGAAGCTGGATATGTTTACTTAGATTTCTTATGAACATCATATATTAATGTTATTAAAGAGGGTTGGAAACATGCCACAAACATTTGGTTTCAATTATGTTTTGCATTGAATGCATTGCTGATTATGCACAGCCTGACTTGTGCATACAGAAAAGGAAGGATCATTTCACCTGAAAAAATATTTTCATTTTAAAAACAGAGTCAGCAAAGCATGACACTACACCCCCATAATCCTAGCACGGAGGAGACTGAGGCATGCAGATCATGAGTTTAAGACAGTTGTGGGTTATATAACAAGCCTTTGCCTCAGCAAACAAGACAAAACCAAAGTCACATTGTTGAGACGGGGACTTCCCCCTTTACTTTTACTTGACACTCTCCCTTTTATCTTTGCATATCTATCATAAGCCTTTGACCACTGCAGCTGCTTTGCTTTTCTTTAAATGATTTTTACTTACTGTGAGCTCCCTGTCTGTCCCTGTGTCCATGTGCGCTTTGTAATTCACAGGCTCACATAATGGCTAAACAATGCCTCAAGGTCAAGCCTGCTGCTTGGGACAGCTGATAATGAAGTCACACACCCCTCTCTGGTTCTGGAGATAGAAAGCCTGCCTCTATAGACAGGGCCATCTGCTCTGTGCTTTGGTGCCTCAGATGTTCAGACTAGATCTCATTTGCATTGACTTTTGCTCAGGTCTTCCCCGGGTGATCAGAGTTGGTGGAGTGGGCATATTGTAAAAAGCTGGAGTTATTCTGGTTCTTATGTATGGTGTGATATGCTTTATTTAGATCTCTAAAAAGTCTAACGTGAACATGCATTTAGTGACTATCATAGGTAATTTGACTTCGGTAGGTTTTTATTAGAGTTAGTGTTATGTGTAGTTGATGTTAGTAATGTCTGGAGTTTGTCTAATCCTTTATATCATCTCCCCTCCTCCTTTAGTTAATTATGCAGTCTCTGTCTCCCCACCCTACTCTCCTTTCCAGTGCTGGTTTTCTTCCTTCTTTCCTTCCTTCCTTCCTTCCTTCCTTCCTTCCTTCCTTCCTTCCTTCTTCTTCTTCTTCTTCTTCTTCTTCTTCTTCTTCTTCCTTCTTCCTTCTTCCTCCTCCTCCTCCTCCTCCTTCTTCTTCTTTTTTCTGTTTGTTTTGTTTTTCAAGACAGGGTTTGTCTGTGTAG